TTAACACCATCTGTTCATGTTCAATTATTGAATATCTATCTACTGCCACTAAATTCTGAGATATGTTGCTGACTAATATGTATTTCCTGTCATTAAGTATATAGCTTATCTATACTGTACTTTATCAATTAGGAATGACTTCGGCTACTAGAAGAAAATTCAACTCAGTGTTACTTAAACCATAACAATAATAATCTGCCATTTACTTTTTAAAACATCTCTAAAGGAGGTGAATAGCTCCATGGTATTATGATGCTGGATTATGTCTCTGTGACATTCTCCCTTCTCGTGATCACGAGAATGCTGCCATACTGCCATACTGCCAAACATCTCGTTCTTTAAGAATGTGCACAAAGACAGCCACAAAAGTGAGGCAACTATGGCCTCACGCTTCCTTATTTTACCAGTGAATTGGGTCTTTCACAGACGTCCCTTAGTGGACTCAACTGGCCTAGGAGGGGATCAAGCATCTACTATCAACTTTAAGGGAGGCTAGAAGAGTGCTTGGTGAGCAAGGGAGAGAGGATTTAGAATTAGCATTGGGTAGCTAATAAAGATTGTTGACATAAATATTCAACAGCGTTCCACATACTTTTGCATCCATGATCTCATCTTATGACTCAACAGGACTGCTATCCAAACACACTGGGAGCCCAAATGTGGAACAGGAGTTCTAAGTGACATCTGCTATATGGGAAATTCTGGCTGTGAAGTAATTTAAAGATTCTCTGAAGGTGCAAATGTAATGCAAGGGTTTTAGAGATGGTATGATGCATTCTGCTTATAAAGTATGCATGTAAGAACCCAAAGAGTAATTCAGGAAATTTTATAGTTTGGGAAGATAATTACAGAGTGGGATGAGGAGAGGAATCCAGATACATGGACTCTAGCCTCTGTCTTGGATGAGATCCTGGAAAGATTCTGAGCCTGCTTCCTCATCTGTAAAATTATACACTTGAACAAGATTAGGTGATTCTGAAACTTTTTCTGAAATAGGAATTCTTATATAATCACAAAGTTATAAGCTAAAACAACATTAAAATATCAAGCTCTTTTCACAATGAGATAAGAAAAAGGTCACTACTTATCTAAATTCACTCATTTAGGTTAGAAATTTGATTTCCAGTATATAGCACACAAGGCTTTCACAAATAATTGATATTGCTTACATCTCGACAGAAATCTAATAATTTGCTTCTTTCTTGTCTTAGAATCTCCCTGCTGGCATTTATTCACAGAAATGCAAATAATGAAACTTTTAAAAGTCCACTTTTTAGCTGTAACTTTTTTTTTAGTAAACTACTTATCCTCTCTGTGAAATAATAATTGAAACTTTATAGTCTTTTGAGGATGAAATACAGTTTTGTATCAATAAACCTTAGTGTAATCACACATAGCAAAGACTCAGGCTGCAGTAACTATGTTTGCCATTAATGTCTTCCTATCTCAACTGGTTAAAGCTTCTCTGAGCTTGAGAAAGTATCCTAGACCAATTTTCCCAGCAGGCTGCTCTGGAGTTAAGTCTGAATCTATTATTATTTTGCCTTTATATGATCATTTCTTCTACCTCTGCATTATGTAGACGTGGATTCTATGTAATAATCAAGGGTGTGGTAACTAACTGAAGTCAGACTAATCATTACGGTGCCACTGAATTCAGTAACTGGTAATTTAGACAAGCAGAATTTAAAAAACATAAATTAAAAATACACTTAAATCAAGGATTCTGAGCCTGTGATTCATGGATGCACTTCAGGACATAGACTCATCTGACGTCACTGAGACAGGTTTTCTCCTCCTTGGCTCTTCTGACCCGCTGAGCTGTATCATCTCAGGGGCTGCCCTGAATATTTTATCAGGATTCCTGACTTTTACCCACTAGATGCCAGTAATACTTCCCTATTGTGCTAACCAAAGATATCTCCAGATTTTGCCAATGTCTCTTGGAGGGCATATTCCTCCTTCTCCCTTTTGAGAACTGTATGATAAAGCTATATATTTTTTCCCCAGGAGGCCTATTAGCTTCTCATTCTTATAAAGACCCATGACTTAAAAAGATTGGAACCAATCCCTTCAAGCCATCCAAACTAAAAATGAAAGAACACACATCCAACTGCAGCTGTAGAAAAAATGAATACCGGCATGGTTAGCTAAACGATGTAATTTGAAAATTTATTACAAAGTTTATGCAAAATATAAACCTACCCTTTTATTTTAACCACTTTTGAAAAGATGTATCCCCAAAACTGTATCTGGGGAAAGTACCTACTTCAAAAATTGCTATCCCCAGATGGTGTGTTTCTTAAAATACTATCTTCAGCAGACGCCCACAGTCATCCACTAAATCTAGCACTAAACTTCCAAAGGAGTTAGTATTAATAACAAGTACAAACAGACCCCACGTCAAGAGGGAAAATAAAAATTAGTTGTTTTTCAGAGAAGAAACCCAAAGCTGGTTGGTACAGACTATTAAGACTGATTAGCAGGAGGAGGGGTGGAAAAGAAGGGAATGAGAAAGACAGGACTGGGGAGGGGAAGGAGAAAGGAGGAAGGAGGATGGAGAGGGAAAAGGTTGCCTGGATAGCGGTACCTAGAGAAGTTTATCTCTCCCTGGAGAGGCTTCTCAAACGACTCCCTCAGCTTCTCCCCTGGCTTGTCTGGAAAGCTAGCTGCGCCCTGGAGACCTGTGCTCTCGCTCTTTTCCATTCCCACGTCCACACCCGTCTTGCTCACCGCTTTCTAAAAGGGCCGCTTCTCAAAAGCCCCCTAAAGCTCAGCAAGCCCCCTTTCCCCACTCTTCAAAGGCTCTCCTTCCCGTCTAAGCCTTCTACCGCAGTCGGAAAACTACAACCCACGTCCTCAGCCCCAAAAGCAAACAGGGACTCGTTCTCCTCCCGCGCCCCAGGGAGCACCCGCGATGACCAGCAACTTCGCCCGCTCCTCGGCCTCCGAGGAAACGGCCCCAGAGGGCTGGTTGCGGGCGCAGGGGG